TGTTATACCACTGCCTGTGAGGTATGTAGTGAAAACATAGCCAGAAATAAGCATATGCTGCACAGACAGTTATTCAATATGATTAAATCATCCTATCTAACTGGGTGTGAGAAAAAATTATGTTCTCCAGCACCCTCTTCCAACAGTCATGTGTGAGGCACAAATGCCTTGAGTAGCCCGATGGAGCACTATACTACTGATCTTTCTTTTTATTACAGGCAGTGGTTTTGAGAAGAAGCTTCCAGATGTAAAATTAAAAAGCAAAACATTAATATCCTCATGACCCCTTCACTAACTGTAGGCATGTGTATGCAAGACTCAATGTAACTGCTGCAAGGAAACCCACAGTATGCAAAAAGGGCTTTATATTATTGCCTTTATGACATTAAGTGCAAGTAAAGCAACTTGCTTAATATATAAGGTTTTTTTTTTCCTGCTGTTCTCTGTTGAAACAAACAATATTCTTGTGTTCCATCCTTGCGGTCATGCCCTTACCTTTCTGATTATCTTACCTATTTAGCCTCAAGCAATTACATTGTGGAATTTTCATTGTGGCCTAACTGGAACATCAGACCACCCACCAGGTCCTTCTAACCACAACATACATAAACTAATGTACATGATATGTGAAATACGGGCATGAAAATTGACCTTAATCCAAGGTCATTGTTTTCCTAGTGCATGGGTCATCAACCTGGTCCCTAACGCCCACTAGTGGGTGTTTCAGGATACCAGGTGGGCAGTAGGGATTTCCTCATTTTGAGAGACTGGGCGGGCGGATTCTAGCCGGCGATACCCCTGCGACTGGGTACCGCCATCACCATTTGCAGCCAAGGCCCGTGCAGCAAACCGCTGTCCAAGGGGTCCATCGGGTGGCCCATGCTGTCAGGGCCACCCGATGGATGTGGATTGTAAGGGGGCCCGGTCAGTGCTGTGTGCTTTAACAGCGCAACCGGGCCCCCTGTGATTACATCACAGAGCTGGGAGGAAGTGACTGCACGTCACTCCTCCCAGCTAACACACAGACCGCACAGGAGGAAGCAGAGGGAGTCAGAGTGGGAACTCTGACTCCCATCCACATGATCCACCACTGGACCACTGGGAATGTCACCCTCCTGCACCTAAAAGGTAGGAAACAGGAGGGTGACTAAAATATTTTGTGTGTGTTTGTGTGTATGTGTCTTTGTATGTATGTCTTGTTTGTGTGTCTTTGTATGTCTTGTGTGTGTCTGTATGTCTGTCTGTGTATGTGCCTTTGTATGTGTGTATGTCTTGTGTGTGTGTGTGTGTGTCTGTCTGTATATATGTGTGTATGTATGTGTGTCTTGTCTTTGTATGTATGTGTTGTGTGTGTATGTCTTTGTATGTATGTGTGTTGTATGTGTGTCTTGTGTCTGTTTGTATGTGTGTATGTGTCTATGTATGCCTTATGTGTGTGTCTTTGTAAGTGTGTGTGTGCATGTCTGTTTGTATGTGTCTGTATGTATGTGTTCCTTCTGTTTGTATGTATGTGTCTTGTGTGTGTGTCTGTATGTGTGCGTGTATGTATGTATGCCTGTCTGTTTGTATGTATGTGTCTTGTGTGTCTTGTATGTGTGTGTCTGTATGTGTGCCTTTCTGTGTGTCTGTATGTGCCTTTGTATGTGTGTCTTGTGTGTCTGTATGTGTGTGTATTGTGTGTGTGTGTCTGTATGTGTGCCTGTCTGTGTGTGTGTCTGTATGTGTGCCTGTCTGTGTGTCTGTATGTATGTGTGCCTGTCTATTTGTATGTATGTGTCTTTGTATGTGTGTCTTGTGTGTCTGTATGTGTGTATGTGTGTCTTGTGTGTGTGCCTGTATGTATGTATGTGTGCCTGTCTGTTATAGTGGGCTATAGTAAGTGGGCTACCTAGCTCAGCCTTCCTACTGGGCATTGCTATCAGGAAGATTAAAAATAGAAAAAAGGGAAAGAAAAGGAGGGGAGGGGAATTGAGGAGGGAGAGGAGATGAGCTGATGCACAGATGAGAAATCATATTATGCGCAAACAGAGAAGTCATCTGAATATCACTGAAAGAGGAGACCTTCGTTTGTTCCTTCTGAAAATCGAACCTGATATCAAATATTTAGTCTCGCAGTATCAACCTCAAGGATCTCATTAATCACTAGTAAAGGTAATTTCAATTTACTTTATTGTTTTCTCGTTAAACTTTATAAAGTTAAAAACATTATAAACATGCATTAAGTAGAAATAAAAAGATAAATGTATGCACATTTATTTTTTTTTAAAACACCCTCCTTTCTAAAAAATATTCTGCACTTGCGTGAAAACTGGTGGGCGGTAAGGACATTTTTCCATCAAGAAAGATGCATTAGTGGGCGGAAGGTAGAAAAAGGCTGAAAACAACTGCCCTAGTCTGTACCTTACTACTTTTATCAATAATCCTCAATATATTTTAACACTGACCTAGCAAACTAGTGTGAAGCCATTAGGCACGTTTTGCCATTTGTGCCTTTTTCAGTCAAGTTGAATTTTTTTAATATACTTAAATTCCTATGCTGCTCTAGAAAGTGCATTAAAAGTATATTTATTAGTATCCGAAAGTGTCAAAAATGTATTTTTCTCCTTCCAAAAAAAGTTTCATGCTGTCACCAGTATCAGAAAAGAAATAAATGTCATATGAGATTTACCAGGTAAGGGTTTCATTAATATAACCTCAGTTGGAACACAGGTATGTTCTTATCTCCTACATCCAGAAGAATGAGAACTTCGGTCTCCATTTAAAGTTTGTGGATAAGCTTTTCAAATTTTCACAATCTGTTAGAAAAACTTTACAAATGATTTATCTACAGAAGTCATAATAAAATTATATAAGATTTTTTTTGTAGATAAATCATTTGAAAAGTTTTGCTAAGAAAATTTGGATCATTTGAAAAGCTTATCCCCAAAAAATAAATTGAGACCTTTGCTTGAAATGGTAAATATGTTGGTAGATAAACTACTGAACTGTTCTCCGAATTAAACCAAGTAATTTAAATAAGTATTGTTTTCCTGTAGTACTAATTACACTGTCAACTATATATTTTGAAGAATAATAAATTTTTACCACAATTATTAACAATATCGCTTTAAATAGAATGCATCAGTGGATATAATTTTGCTCTAGTATGCTGGACTAGAACATTTCATAAAAAAATATATATATCTGTAGTGATTTATGGTAAAGACAAAATTCTTCTGAGCATTACCCAAAAGAGGATATTTTATTATACTCTATGCATAATATAGATAGTGTTTAAGCTTGACTATGTATAACATGCTACCCTGTATTCAAGTTCATCTGTGTAACCCTGGAAGACAATTTTCAGTTGAACGTCTCTGAGCTATAACGTTAGGGATGGGCGTCTTCCTGTTTTATGGGAGATGGCCTTGGGCAGATTTAAACAAAGCCCCATTGATTTTCAGAGAACAGCATCTCTAGAGGTTGTAAATTTACAATATCTCATTAAAATGTTTGGGCATTATACTCCATCTGTTTCACACATCTCTGTTCACAAGCAAAATGACTCAAACCAGAAAGTACATTTCTTTATCTTTTTCTCACTTAAATTTAAAGCTGAAAAGACTATTTATGTATAAACTATTCCACAGTTAACTATTTATTATATTAACCTATCAAAACATTAATTTCAATTTTATTAACTTTGATAAGGCAATATCATATATTCTAATAAAAGTGTGTTTATATGTGCGAAGAATGATAATGCTATATTTACAGATAATTAGTCATAGAAGTGAGGGATACCATTTTCCTTCACGTATTTACTGCTACTAGTACATGTTTAAAACCCTTTCGGACCAAAAATGTTATGTCAAAAGTATTCCTTTAAGACCAAAGATTTTATGTCAAAATGTATAAATAAATTCACCATGGGCCCAGGATAACAAAATTTAAGAACACAAAAATTCAAAAGAAAAATAGGTAAAGTAGTAATAATAAATAAATAAAAAAATAGTGCACACTACCCCTCACACAGAAAATGTCCAAACATTGTAAACAATATGACTGGACAAACAAACATTGCCATGTTACATTTTGCATTTTTCTTGCTAATTACAGCCATAACATCCGTATATAATTCTTATCGGTAAATTTCACAATGCCTATTAATAGAGTGATTTCCCATTTGAAGATACTGCTGGTATTTTCAAAAGAGGAAATCATGCTATTAATAAGAATTAAGTAAATTACTACTAAATTGTATCATACCAGTGTGCCAGTAACAGGCGCCTATATGGCTTCACTCCTAGACTATACACATTTCTTTATTAGTGTCACACACATCTCAGAGAGAAGACGAGTAGATAAGGAGGAGCGAGGCTATCTAGTCCCCTGTTTAGAGACTTGGCTGTGCTGAAGGGTCAAAGGTTACAGAGAGCAAAATTTTTATTTTTGCTTGTAAACAAATATTTCTGAATTCCATACTGTCTAAACTGTTTCATTCCCTCAATTCCCTCAATGCATGAACAAATGCATGAAAAATTTTAATTGTATACATTTGCATGATTTTAATTTTTATGCTTGTCCGAACAGTAATGTGTACACTAATCAACAGTTTTTTGATATATGTTTATGTACTAGCTAAACAACATATGTTTTAATTGAAAGTTATGCTAATATTTTTTCAAACAAAAATCGAATGCTAGTGGAAAGGTTAAATAAGACAATTACTATTGAAACCACAATAAGACAAATGATAATTTGAGGTGAACTCTTCATTTCCATCTTCCTCCTTTTGATGACTGCCTCTTGACTTCTTTTCTTTAAGTTGCTAGATATTGATCATAGTTAGCTCAGTCAGTTTTGTTTTTACGTTCATAAGGATATTTGTATAGTCATATTTTATACTTTTGTTTTGTGAACAGTGTAAACGAGTTATTTTCAAATATGCTACATACTCCCTTTATTACTTTATTCTGTTGTAATTATTGCTCCTTGTGTACAGTGTATCTAAAAAGAGTATGAAACCCCTCCATTATTTCCACGCCAAAGAGGAGATCCTCAAAAGGAGCAGAACCCAATCCGGCTGGACGGAGAAATACCAAGGTGTTGCAGTGTATGCCGATATATATGATGCCTTTCAAGCCATCATGGAACCACTCCGAGCCCACCAAGTCATCTACCGCTGGGGATACCCCGTGAAACTGTTGGTTCAGCGGGAAGGAAAGACCACGGTATTGCTTACCACCGAAGATGGAGCTCAGAAGCTGCGTGACTGGGGAATGGAGCCAACGGAACAGCCAAGGCCTGCTGGAGCACCCAGACGCCTCTCTCCCGACTGGATGAGGGCGAGACGGAGATAGCAGACCGCCGGTGGTCCCAGAGACTGTATTAAAATGTCCAACAAACTGCAAGTACATCTGTAGCATACATGATATATACTTATTGCAAGATTACACCACATATATGACTTACACAATAGCTGCCAGTATTTAAATGACATAGAAACATAGAAACATAGAATGTGACGGCAGATAAGAACCATTCGGCCCATCTAGTCTGCCCAACTTTCTAAAAACTTTCATTAGTCCCTAGCCTTATCTTATAGTTAGGATAGCCTTATGCCTATCCCATGCATGCTTAAACTCCTTTACTGTGTTAACCTCTGCCACTTCAGCTGGAAGGCTATTCCATGCATCCACTACCCTCTCAGTAAAGTAATACTTCCTGATATTATTTTTAAACCTTTGTCCCTCTAATTTAAGACTATGTCCTCTTGTTGTGGTAGTTTTTCTTCTTTTAAATATAGTCTCCTCCTTTACTGTGTTGATTCCCTTTATATATTTAAATGTTTCTATCATATCCCCCCTGTCTCGTCTTTCCTCCAAGCTATACATGTTAAGATCCTTTAACCTTTCCTGGTAAGTTTTATCCCGCAATCCATGAACCAGTTTAGTAGCCCTTCTCTGAACCCTCTCTAAGGTATCAATATCCTTCTGAAGATACGGTCTCCAGTACTGTGTACAATACTCCAAGTGAGGTCTCACCAGTGTTCTGTACAATGGCATGAGCACTTCCCTCTTTCTACTGCTAATACCTCTCCCTATACAACCAAGCATTCTGCTAGCATTTCCTGCTGCTCTATTACATTGTCTGCCTACCTTTAAGTCATCAGAAATAATCACCCCTAAATCCCTTTCCTCATATGTTGAGGTTAGGACTCTATCAAATATTCTGTACTCTGCCCTTGGGTTTTTACGTCCAAGATGCATTATCTTGCACTTATCCACATTAAATGTCAGTTGCCACAATTCTGACCATTTTTCTAGTTTACCTAAATCATTTGTCATTTGGCTTATCCCTCCTGGAACATCAACCCTGTTACATATCTTAGTATCATCAGCAAAAATGACACATAACACTTAGAGATACTCGGGATTTGGGGGTGACATGGGGGCCCTCACTACAGTATAGACTCCCACCAGGAGCTGGGGGGAAAATGATAACAGTTAGAAGACGCACAACTCCAAGTTATCACCCTTTTCTTTGGTAGATTGAGACTTCACTCACCCAGGGGACCTTCATTACTTGTACCCCACATAGTCAGCCTGCAGTACGCAGCACAGAGATAGACACTATCGAATACTCTAAGGTGACAACGATATATAAAAAAAATATATACGCGAAAATATATTTTTTTAAATAAATAAAAAATAAATAAATAAAATAAAAATAAATAAATATGCAAAAAACAAACAAAAAAAACAGTGTAAATAATCAACAATGATACCTGCAACACTATATATACCAGATCCAACCCACCCAGTTAATATATATAATATATGTTGTACACTCGAGCACATGATAGCCAAAAGCAAACATTTATTGTTTATTGTTTATAGCCATGGTCCTTACCGATAAGTTACAAAGGTTCAAGGCCTAAGGAGAGCACACTCTCCATAGACAGGGAGTACTTACTTCCTTCCCCAAGGCGCTATTGGCTAGTGCCTAGCCGACTATTCGGCCCTTTAGTTTTCTTTTTTCTTTTTGGTTACATTGGGGGCTACTGAGCAACACAGGGATGTTTACCCTGGGCGCTGCAGGAGCGTTCCCTTCTTTCGTTTCTATACGTTTAGTGAACGATGCGCAGGGACTCTGTCTAAGTGACAGAAGTGACGAAGACTGCGGATATGTGGTTACCAGGTCATTCAACCATAGAGCGGCTTCACTCAGCTTGATACAGCTGGGGGGATTGGAGCCATCACTCTCTCTTGGTAATAATACAGGCATAAAACACACACCAACACATGATCCACCCTGAAGATCTACTCCCATAATGTTAGGGGCCTTAATATACCAATGAAATGGCACCTGCTGAACAGAGAACTAAGGACACACAACGTAGATGTGGAGTGTCTACAGGAAACTCATTTCCGCATGCACGACCACCCTCCTTTGTTGAACAGGGAATACCCAACACAGTTCCACTCAACCTTCCCCACAAAGTCAAAGGGCACCTCCATACTTGTTAGCAAAAATGTGTCATTTCAGGCACACTCCCAAGTCATTGATACAAATGGCAGGTTCCTTATAGTGGTAGGTTCTCTCAGTGACATGATGTGACATACACCAACTCACGTGGTCAGACCATGCTCCGGTCACGCTACAGGTCAAAGACTCATACGATTTTAAACACCAGAGCCTGTGGAGATTGAACGACTCCCTGCTACACCATAGGGAGTTTGTAACCAAAATAGAGGTAGCCCTTCGTTACTATTTCAAAGAAAATGAAACCCCTGGCGTGACTAAAACTACGATATGGCAAGCACACAAACCAGTGGCTACGGGACTTTTTATACAAAGAGCCGCTATACTACGCAAACAATCTCGAGCACAATTGCAACGCTGGCATAAAGACCTGCACATGCTGAATATACAAAATCAGTTAACACCATCACCATCCCTTAGAGATCAAATTCAAACCCTAACGAGACTAATACATCAACAGGCTTTACAGGCCACTGGACATACACTCAAACCTCTCAAAGCCAACTCCTATGCACAAGGGAATAAGGTGGGTAGGCTCCTAGCCACTAGGCTGAAAGCAAGGCCTCTCAAAAGATTGCCTACCTCACAACGCCAATGGGTAATAAGACACACACACCAAAAGGCATAAGCGACCCGCGTTACTACGCGACTTTATATAATCTCAAACAAGACCCATGTAACAGATCACCTGGCACCCCGACTGGGTACCTCCATTGAAGGATGCTCCTAGCGCTTCCTGAGGACTCCAAGCACTGCAGCAGACACCACAACCACCGAACCGGAGAAGCATACGAATGCTCTCAAGCATATGAATGCTGTAGGCAGCTGAACAGGAAAAGCATACAATCAGCTTACACTCCTGGCAATCAGCATACAATCCAATTCCCCCAATAACGAGACGACACTTCATTTTTAGGTCAAGCAGAACTGCCTGTACTGGCACATACAGCCTCTTTTATTCACAATCCACAAACATAGTACTGCCCACAGGGTTTTGAAATACAACCAATCAATCCATACATACAATACACACAGACACTCCCACACAAAATCCTCCCCTCTGCCTGTGATATGATTACTGAACACAATGGTTAATATAATTATCACAGGCAGAGAAATACAGTATTATGAAACATATCACAGGGATTCCAAAACATGCAATAACCCTATAAAAGTATATCCTCGGAACCGGGGGATCTGGGTGAACCACATATCCAATTCACCCAGATCCGTTCAGTAGTTTGGAAGATACAGTTTAATGCAGATTCTGCAGAACATGTACAGGCTATATGAAAAATAATTACTGTATAATGTTCCCTGTTGTAGGGTTTAAAACTACTGCACAATGTCTTTGTGCACCAAATACCGGCGAGATGGCACCGTGTAGAAAAGTCCAAACAGTGTCTGTGAGTTAAAATGACCGCCATCCATTGTTCTCACCATGTGCTTCATCCATGGTTCTCACCATGTGCCTCTGATACATGAAATGGTGACCACCCAGTAACTCCACAGTATATCCCCAGATGGCTCTTAAAGGGCCAGCAGCAGCACAACACAAATCCATTATGCCCAAATCATGTCTTTAACCCCTTAAGGACCAAACTTCTGGAATAAAATGGAATCATGACGTGTCACACACGTCATGTGTCCTTAAGGGGTTAAAGGGCAATACATCCCAGGGGCCATAGTCACATGGCAGGAGGCTGGCAATCAGACTTATCCAATGCCCAGTGGCGAGGTTGGTTTCGCCACAACCCCCAAATATGCCAACCAAACAGCACAGACATAGCCCAATATCTAAAGAACCTTGACCTACCTACCCTGACTGCTGCCCAGAGGGAGGCCTTAAACAGCCCGCTGACGGAGAAGGAGGTAGTCAACACTATCAGGTCACTGCTGTCGGGTAAAGCACCCGGACCTCTATTATAAAAAGTTCTGCACCATACTGGCTCCCCACCTGGTAGCACTGTTCGACCATGCTATCACCACGGAAACATTACATACTGACATATTAGCGGCGCATGTCCTCACTCTGCCAAAACCAGGTAAACCTCCTACAATACTTCAAAATTTCAGACCCACTTTACTGCTTAACACAGATGCCAAGCTGTTTGCTAAAATATATGCAACCCGATTAAGCGAGAATCTGCCGTACATAATCCACTCAGACCAAGTGGGTTTTGTGAAGGCCCGTCCCGGCTCGGGAGGCTTGCTGGTATCCCTTGATGCAGAGAAGGCAGAGAAGGCCTTTCAGTGTCTGCATTGGGGGTTCCTAGAGGCGGTTCTGCCGAAGTTTGGCATCCCCCAGGGATTCTTGTCTGCGGTAAAAGCATTATATAGCACATCGACGACACAAGTACTAAATGCAGGGTTTCTGTCTAACCCCTTTAAAATAACCAATGGCACAAGGCAGGGATGCCCGCTGTCCCCAATGCTGTATGTTTTAGCCGCTGGCGCAGACGATCAGGAACAACTCCTCTATTCATGGCATACATATATACGGGGACGGGAGTGCAAGACAAATCTATTTACGGACGATGTGCTGCTGACTGTGACCCAACCTAGGATCTCCCATACACAGATCAACCCGTCCCAGTGGATCGAAATCGAATCCTCCTACACATGCACCAGAGGCCTGAAGTATCTGTTCTGGATCCCACGCTCTAAAAGACCTCAGATGCCGAACACACCCAGCATCACAGTGCAACTCCTACAAGAGTGGGATAGCTTGAAAAAACAACTAAAGTTGGAAAATGCATGGTCTCAGGCCACCCTCATAAAATGCCTACACATAATTAACCCATCCTTTGATTTT